CTTTGTCTCCACAGACTCCTCAGTGTACCACTCTCCTTTTTACCCTCGTCAGTTCTATGATTCACCTCATCCTTCATAGACCCATCTGCTAACACATCCACTCCCAAATATCTGAATACATTAACCTCCTCCATACTCTCTCCCTCCAATCTCATATCCAATCTTCCATTACCTAATTTTTATCCTCATCACCTTATTCTTTCCTATATTCACTTTTAATTTCCTTCTTTTACATACCCTACCAAACTCATCAACCATCATAGTCTCCTTCAGTGAAAAGGCTTTGATGCCATGGATGGGCTTTTGATCCAATGCTAGAGTTACTCTCCCTTGGATCGAAACGTGGAAGCATACTGTATTGTTTTAACATTCTTTTGATGTTCAGGATGGATATGGGGTGCACAATAAACTAGCCACCGAAGTGGCTAGTTTATTGTGCACCCCATATCCATCCTGTGGACGGTAGCGCAAGAGCATATGGATACACAAAAGGCCCAGTATTATTATTATAATCAAAAAGAAGCGCTAAGCCACAAGGGCTATACAGCGCTGCAGGGCAGGAAGGAAGCGAGGGCATCAGGTGGCAAAAGGGAGGTGGATGAGTAATAGGTTACGGATAACAGTGGAGCAGTGGATGGTGAAAGGGTAAAGGGCAGCAAGAGACTGAGCTAGAAAGGGCTGAGGGGAGTGTGTAAGGTATCATCATCAGAGTTTGTGGAGTAAATCAGTCGTTGTCAAGAAGTCAATGAGAGAGTCAGGATTAAAGGAGGGTCCATCAGCAAGAAGGGAAGGTAAAGAGAGAGTAGTAGAACGAAGACGGCGTTGGAGGTAAATTCTGCGTGCTCGTTGATAGAGAGGGCAGTCTAACAGAATGTGGCTAATCGATACTGGAACTTGACACTGCTCAGAGAGAGGTACAGGGTGCCTCTCCATGAGATACCCGTGAGTAAGACAAGTGTGGCCAATGCGAAGACGGGAGAGAGTGGTCTCCCAACCACGGCACTGATGACAAGAAGACGGCCAGTAACCTATGCTCGGTTTAATAGAATGAAGTTTGTTACCAAGCAGAGTTGACCAACGTTGTTGCCAAGGGGCGCGAAGGTGGGCAGCTATTGTAGCAAAATAGTCCAGAAATGGAACACCTCTATAGGAAATTGGTATCATGTACTGCTGACCGCGCAGCAGTGTCTGCCTGTTCATTGCCCTGTACGTCAACATGATCAGGGACCCAACAAAAAATATCTTTATGCTTCATAGAGATACGGCGTAGCCAAAGTTGGATACGGAGAAATAGGGGGCGAGATATATCAAATTTTCGTATAACCTGTAGAGCACTAAGGGAGTCTGAGACTACCACAAATGATGACACAGGCATAGATGCGATACGAATAAGTGCTGCAAGAATGGCATACAGTTCAGCAGTAAAAATGCTAGCTGAAGATAGTAAATGCCCCCGCACGATGCTGTCCGGAAACACTGCTGCGAATCCGACGCAGTCTGAAGACTTAGAGCCATCTGTGTACACAGCGGTGGCATGAGAATGGGAGTGGAAGTGATCAAGAAAAACAAAAGGCCCAGGAACTAGGCCCCACAAGAGTTAACAGGTGTACATATGGGTTTTTATTTATCTACATATCTACAGTTCACTTATCTGTTACATGCAAATTTAGGAAATTTGCTTAGTATATCTGGTATCTTATTTTCATTAATAAGATACCTTGACATGTCACATTGGTTATTATACTGTCTGTCTCTGTATTCCTCAATAAGTGGACAATTAAGCACACAAGTGTTCAAGACAGTGACCATATAGCTGATCACATAATATGCATTTAGTTTGATCATCAACTTACATGATTCATTACCTTTGTACCTTGTTCAGCTATCAAAACTTTGGGGTCCAGTCCCTGGACCCATTATGTACCTCTGTAATCTTTTGACCACCACCCACAGGATGGGTATGGGGTGCATAATAATCATTAAACTAACACCTGGGAAATGAGAATCTTCAGGTTCGATGCAAGAGGAGAAAAGGTCAAATTCCTTGGATCAAGAGTCTATCACTGGTATTTAGAGGGGCCCTGACGAAAGGAAGAAGGGAAGGGATGCTGGATTTCTAATTTATTGAGTTTATTCTGTGTAGATATGCTAACTGTTTTAAACTAATAATATTCATGCTTAGGCTCTAAACACGTAGAGATCATTATTATTTGTATGGGGGAGCGCTAAGCCCATAGGGATTATACAGCGCCTGTTGGGGGAGGGGACTGAAGGTAATCAAGCTCAATTCAGGAAACTGGAGCACAGATCCAATTCCCTAGATCGAGAGCCCTTCACAAGCTCTTGGGTATCAATATTATTATTATAATCAAAAAGAAGCGCTAAGCCACAAGGACTATACATTATTATTATTATTATTATTATCAAAAAGAAGTGCTAAGCCACAAGGACTATACAGCGCACAAGGACTATACAGCATTGGGTATCAATAAAGATACCCAAGAGTTGCACATGTGTCTAATTTAACGTGTCGGTTCTTTGAACCATTCATCTGCAATCCTGTCAGACACTGCAACTTCTTGGGATCTTAATACTTGGGAATTCTTCGCTTGCCTAACCCTTGGGCACGACCTACTTCCACATTGGACAAATGTGACACCACCTACGACTGCTGCACCTCTCCTGCCATACGGTTTATAAGCTGCTTCTCCGCTCATATGCCGTATTCTATTCAAGATGGATGGACTGACCACATCGACTCAAGGATGAGGGACTGATTACCTCATTCTCCTCCTGTTCTTCAAGTTTATCCTTTGTATGGACTGATGAAGCCACTGTGTGGCAAAACGTTTCCTCAATAAAGATACCCAAGAGTTGCACATGTGTCTAATTTAACAGGAGAGGTATGAACTAAGATAGCTACGAAGGGTATTAGGGACTCGTGTGGGGTGCCTTGATGGCAGCGAAAATTTCTTGACTAAAGGAAATTGGGCCTTCCTCCTATTTCTTTGACATTCTGAATGTGATTACCTCACGTTACCCAAGTGCTCTTTGACCCTTGTGGGCTTAGCTAAACCCAAGGGGTCGTACAGCACCTGCAAAACAGGAGGCAAGCATTGAAGGAAGAGAAGGATAAGTCTAGTTCATTTGATAGAGTTCCTCACCTGCATTAAGGAACTCGCTCGGAAGATTATATTTATTGGGAAGCACTAAACCTATAGTAGTCATAGTGCCCAGGAGGCATTTAGGTTCAATCCAAGGAAGAGGAGGGCAAATCCAATTCCTTGGATTAAAGAGCCCCTTACTGGCATCCAAGAATCTTCCTTGAGGGGCCTTGGAAGATTCAACAGCAAGGAAAATATCTGAGGTAATATTGTTGCAGGGATGCACTGAACTCATAGGGGTTAAATTAATCAAAACTAAGCACTAAACCCACAAGGGTCATTCAGTTTAGGGGTTAAAGTGCCTGGGAAATGGGAGAAGTTTAATACAAGGAAATTGAGTGCAGCTCCAATTCCCTGGGTCAAGAGCCCTTCATTAACATTAAGGCACCTCACTTCAGAGGAAAGTGCAAAATGTCGAGCTAGTGCCCTGAATACAGACTTATTTCATCCCTCAATACCCATTATTAATTTGAGAGCTAAACCCAAAAGTCGTACAGCTCAGTGCCTAACAAAAATAGTTATGACACTACATAATACAATCAAGCACTTTAAACACGAGACCATGTAAAAATGGCGATTATTCATGGACACAAAACCTGTAGGGGGGTCACATCACCTACATGAATGAAAGGTATTCAGGCTCAATTCAAGGTATACTTAGGGGGAAGAAATAACATACCTGGAAAATGGGAGGTAATCCAGTATGATTCAAGCCATTGCTATATATAGTACCTAGGAAATGGTAGGCATCTCCCTGATGCAAGGGAAGAGTAAATACAATGTGGACCCAACACCCTATACTAGCATCCAAGTACCTACAGCTGAAAGGATTATATCCACAAAATCCTAAACCCATCTCTACTATATACAGCTTTATCTTCACAAAAACAGCAGTAAACCAGCACCTCTTAACCCAGCCATAGTGTCCACGGAAAAATACATTTCAAGTACCAGTTTTGACATTGGAATAAATACAGTATAAGCATTTGTCAAGTTTATTGAAGGTACAAGAGAAAAGACCAGAGAATTTACGAAACATGAGACAGGAATAAAATTTAAACGGCATAAAAAAAAGCCTTCAAGTAGGGGTAATAAACATAATTTTAAATAAAGCATGTACTAACAGGGAAGAGAATTTAATAAACTTAAATTTACCAAGGCAATTCAAGTGCTTAGATACAAGTTCAGTGTTTGGGGCAAAATTATTTTAAACAGGGGGAAGCACTAAACCCACAAGGGTCATAGAGTATGGCAAAATTATAAACAATTGGTTGATAATTAATATACATATGGTATCAGAAGCCTGATCAAACCTTTGAGCAACACTGAAGCATTAATGCCAAATAATACATCTTCCTTTTCACATCTATTGTATATACAGTATACACTCTTCACACGAATAACTCGAAGTTACAATGGAAAAAAATTCAGTCAAAACAAATTTGTAATTTCCAATAAATAAGTGAGACTTTTACAACTGCTTTGTATTACATGCCAAGTCTCCAGTACTGGTGTGTTAAATAAAAACAAAATTTCTAATATACAAATATACTATGTATTTAATCCACAGTAAAATTATTGTAATAATGAACTATCACAATGTACATTTCATGAACAATGCAGTTAGACAAAGTTTTGAGTTAATGTGCCAAGCATACTTCAACATATGTAATTAAAAATACTAGTCAGATATTCATAATTCGCCCATGCATAAATTATGACTAATGAGGTGACTTATAAAACATGAAGCATTGAGATTTGAATAAGTAGGCACAGACCCTATTCTATACAATTTCAATGCACCCAAAATGGAAAATGTTAAGAAAACATATCAAAGACCATTTAAAATTTATTGACATTTCATGAAGACAGATCAACTTCACAGCTGCAAAACGAGTCTTCAACTCGTTGCTGCCACCCATGAAGATAAAAAATATTTAATGTACAGTCGGTCATGTAAATGTTTAATGTACAGTGCTCATTTACACTACTGGAATCTAGGACTTAGCATATGTGGGCACTTAACTGTAGAAACAGTTCACCCCACAGGAGCCCAGTGCCCATGGCTCTTCACCCTCTCCAGAAATATTCATCATATAATGGCTGCAGGACCCCAGCAGCTACATCCTTAAGAAGTTAGGCTTCTAGTTCCATGGCCAGGCCAACTTTGTGTCCACCCTGATTGAAATTCTTACCATCAATGAGAGTTGATAGTGTCAGAGTAATGCCATCACGCACCTTTTGCTGGTAGCCTAGGCCAACCTGAGAGTTGTTGTTCACCTTGGCTCGCAGTGCAGCATCCTTGTCCAGAGAATATTTGCAGCCAATGGAGAAGCGTGTAGTGTTGGATCCAGCAGACCAAGCCAAGTCAACAGCACCCTCCAAGTCAGGATTAATTTTGTGGAAGAGGGAGCCACCAAATTCAGCTCCATCATTGGCATACGTGTGAAGAATGAAGTCTGGATTGGTAAATCCAACAGCGAAGTTATTTTTGGTGAGCTTTGATTTTGCAGTATCAAAGGACATCTGATAACCAACAAGCCAATTCTTGTAGCTTGCCACAGTAGCACCATTGACTACTGGACCACCAAGATCTAATGTGGAATCTAGGTTAACAGACAAAGCATCAGTCTTGTAAGTAGATTTAAGCACTCCAGACTTCTTGCCTGTCTGTGGAGCAAAGGTGGTGTTGAGAACAAGCTTGAGCCCCTTGGCAACCTTGTCGTCCAATGCAACTTCTGTGTTCAGTGTGTTGTCTGTGTTCCACTTCTCCGTAAAGGTCAACCCTGAAAAGTATTGCCCAGTATTACAATTAACAAATCTTCAAAGAAAAATGCACTGCTAATAATAGTCCTGGATAAGAATGTATATTATCAGCATTAAAATAAAAAACTATCATAATTATAAACAAAGAGTGGAGTTATAAATTCATATTGAATAATTAAATTTCGTAAATACAAAAATAACATTTAATTTTAGTCAGAACATTAAAAACACTTTTCTGAAACCTGTGTTCTGTGGTTTTATGTTCATGCATAAATATCACAGTACATAAACTGTTATGATCATTAACTCTTTCACTGTCTAGACCCCTGTCCTGAGATTTGTCCAGTGTCCAAGAATAAAAAAAAAAAAAATCTCGTGACATGGTAGAGAATCTTTCTAGAGGTAATAAAACAAAGCACAAAATCTGATGGAAAACTGACAAAATTACACTTTCACAAATTCTGCCATGTCAGCGAATTTTTATGCATCGGCAATTTTGCCCACTGAGTCCTATTTTAGGCCAATTACATTGTTCCAAATTCTTCGCTCTTTTGCTATGTCTTCCATTTTATCAATTGAGCACAAGAAATTGCTCAATCAACTATTTCAACTACCCAATAAAGTGATAAGAAATTGGTAATTTGGCCAATTTCACACAAATTTCAAAATATTCCAGTTTCAAAATAGGGTCCAGAATAAACAACAGCAGGCATTCCTGGCACTAAAATAACACTTCCTCTTTTCTTTAGTTACGTTCCAACGCTTTACACATGAATACCATTTTTATTTTTTATTCAAAGAAATTTTATTTACAAAAAAAAAAAAAAAAAAAAAAAAAAAAAAAAAAAAAAAAAAAAAAAAAAAAAAAACATGTAATACTGTAATAATTGTATAATTTATATCAGTGCATTCGTAAATGCATAACAGACCCACAAATTGATGTGTATTGGACAAGTGACATGATACGTTTACTCTTGAATATCAGCAAAAATCAAATACATCCACTAATTTGAGCTCTATTTCAAGCTATTTCCAGTCCTAAAATCAATCAAAATCATCTCTATTTCTGTTATATATCTTCCATCTATCAAATGAGATCAAGATACTGAGAATAAAACCGCAAAGTTGATACTTTAAACCAAAAACACTTTTTTTTCTCATTATGCACTGTGTGCTGCAGGTTTTTTTTTATATGGTGCACACTTACTGCACAACCCATTCTCTCATTCTAGCCCCCAAATTTTCTGCTTACAGCTTATCTTGAATGAGATGAGCTCATGGCGTAGTACTATGACGCAGCCAGTTAAGCGGTTAAGCAAAGTTCATTCAAGCTAAACTGCCTTAAAATTTTATTTAAAGACACGTCCTGTGGCCTGGAAGGCAACGCTCTTACTTCACAACCCCGAGTGTCCATGGTTCAATCTCTGGCAAGGGTGGAAACATTGACCATTTCCTTACACCTGTTCCCCATTCACCTGCCCAAATAGGTAGCTGGGTGCAAACTGACTGGTGTGAGTCTCCTAGGGGACAAAATTTAAAGGACTCCCAATGGAAATAAGACAGTCCTCGATGATGCAATGACTGTGGCTAACCCTCCGAGGGTTTAATATCCGAACAAAATCTCACATCTCTGACGTACAACTTAATCCTATGCAACTTAAAATCAACACAGATCTAACTCAGTACACAAGGCATGGTCCTAGCACCTTCACCTATTCTCAGCTACATATCCTTTGTGGACAGTGTCAAAGTACAAGTGACCTCAGTAGAAATATTAGATATAGAAAGGCTTCAAAAGAGCAAATGAAAATAACATTGCTCAGTGATGACAAATTTCAGTTCTTTGATATGGAAAGAATGAACTTAATACCAGCACAATACAGAATACAGGGAGACCATCTCCAAATAAACAGGTAGACTTAGGATAAATACTGTCTGATAGTAAGTCATTTTGAGAACAATAAACCTAATGCAGCAAAGGCAAGAAAAAAATATAGGGCAGACAATGAGAGCTTTCAAAAGAAAAATAATGCAAATGATAGTTCTACTTAAATTGCTTGTGCTTTTAAATCAAGAATATTGCTCTGTTCTCATAGTTCTGTTCAAAGCAGGAGTTACCAGAGCTAGACAAAGAATTTACTGTCTGCATAGTCAAAGCAACGAAACTACTGGAAATACCTCAGTACTTGGAATGTACTCCACGAGGAAAGTGATACGTGAAAATATACACCTGGAAGATGAGTAGGATGTGTAATAATTAGGTATCTTCAGTCAATAATTAGGTTTCTTCAGTCAAATGAAGAATACTTATAGATAACAGTAATGGAAATGGGAAGTACAATGCCTGCACTCTAAAGGAGGGGTTTCGGGTTTCTTTCTTTTTTGGGTCACCCTGCCTCGGTGGGAGACAGCCGACTTGTTGGAGAGGGGGGGGAAAAAAAAAACAGTAATTGTGGCAAGGAAAAGATAATGTGATGCCACCAACCATGAAGGTTGTATTGTAAAAAATTTTCATAATTACACCTGAAAGGCATTAGAAGACCCTGCCCCAAATCTTCAAATTACCATAAACTTTCTGGAGATATGGATGGAGGTATAAAATGAATTAAGAGAAAAGCAGAGATGCCATAGGCACAATAAGAGAGCACCATCAACATTCTTGGCCAAAGAATTTTCAACCTACCAGCAGATATCAGAACTGCTAGAACAAATCAAGTCTTTAAAAGTAAACAGGATTACTACCTGGACTAGGTGTCCGATCAACCAGACTGATGGCTATGTGGGCCAGAGGTCCAAAAACAGCAACAGACATAATGAACAGGTACAGAATGAGGAAGCTTGGCCAACCATTGGGCTGGTAGGGTAGAAAAGCCCTCAAAGTCAGCCAAAAGTATACAGGTTTTATCATCATGGGTAAGCACTTAGTTTGTAGCTGTCATACAGCACCTGGGGAATGCGAGACAATCAGGTTAGAACCAAAAAATGAGGAGAGGTTCAATTATTAGTTGAATCAAGGCACCTCCCTAGAAGAAAGGTACTACGTTAAATTGTTTAACTGTACAGTAGTTTAAAAAGACATAAGCAAACATTATGGGATACTAGTATTATTATTATTACAAGTCAAAAAGAAGTGCTAAACCTACTAGGGTCATACAGTGCTGCTGGGTAGGAATTGATGCAGGATCAAAGGATAGTAATAGTGGAGAGGCCAACAAAGGTCAAGTTAGGAAGGGCTGTAGGAAGTGCTAAAGGAAGGATTACCAAAGTTTGTGTAATAAATCAGTTGCTGTTAAAAAGTCAAAAAGGGAGTCTGTCAAAGGTGGGGCCATCAGCAATAAGGGAAAATAAAGTAAGGGTGTTAGAGTGGTGACATCATCAGAGAAAAATCCTGTGTGCTCGTTGACAGACAGGACAGTCCAATAGAACATGGGAAATTAACACAATTAACAAAGTGGAACAGGACACCTCTCCATGAGATATCCACGAGTTAGAAGTGTGTGTCCAATGCGAAGACGCGAGTGTTGTCTCCCAATCTCGGTATTGAGGACAAGAAGACCAGAAGCCCAAACTTGGTTTGATAAAATGTAATGTGTTTTGAGTCATTATCAGATCAACATTGTTGCCAATGGTTGCAAAAATGAGTAGAGATGACAGCAAAATAGTCAGAGAATTAAATAGTACCTCTATATGAACCTGGTAGGTCACTTGACCCTTCGTATGTTAGTAGTGATTCAAGTCACATGACTGACCTTCCCAAATTTGGACAAGTGTTTCCTCACTTGTCTTTCAACCACCTGTCCATATCTATTACCATGTTTTATACCACAACTATAGTACATGTACACTACTTTAGGTTAGATAGTGGCATCTTCACTTTAAAAGTGGAGTGGGTGTATTTAAAATTCAGTGGTCAATAACCTAATAAATCTGTGCCTTCCCAATAGTTCAGATCATGAGTAATTTTTCAGGTCACCCTGCCTTGGAAAATGGTTAAGAAAGCCACACAATGAGGAACATGTTTGTGAATAATTAATTAGGTAGCATGGACCACTAGTACACTAAAGGAATGTGGGCAATAAGCTCTTTATATAATGGGTATTAATACAATAAACCAACTTAATACCAGCTACTTACCATGTTCTTTCACCTTGTACTTGGTCTCAAGATTGCCTGCAACTTTACCAGACTCCAGAACATTGGAGCCACCTGCTGTAATCTCCACACCAGTGGCAGTTTTACTTTTGCACTCAAGTTTGAGGACGCCAAAATGGAAGCCTTTGCCAAAGACATCTCTGGCAGACTTGCCGAGGTCAGCATAAACAGGAGGGGACATATTTTCTGGAAAAAAAAAAAAAATTGATAAATTTTGGTAGATTACCCTTATCTATTTGCAACTAAATGTTTTCACAGTACAGTAGGGCCCCACTTATACGGCAGGTTAAGTTCCAGGCTACCGCCATGAAGTGGAACGCCCTTTTTTTCCCCCCCCCCACTTACAAATGCATATAAATGCTAGGTAAGTTGATACTAACTTATATTAAGTTAGCAATAGAACTAGGCATTAAAAACAATAAAAAACTAAAATATGTACACATAATACACTCATTAATCCTTAAACTGTCCAAACGTAGATCTATGTTTACACGCGTAGCGCTACAACCTTGATTTTTGCTATAACAAAGAATGTTAAAAAAATGTAGATCTACGTTCGGAGCACTACGCAAGCAAACGTAGATCTACGTTTGGACAGTATTTATGGTAAGAAATCACTTGTGGTAAGTATTGTAGCCAGCCAGGCCACCCCACCCCATCCACTTAACCCGTAAACAGTCCAAAAGTATATATGTTATCTACCGTAGTGCCCCAAATTTTTTGAGAAAAACAGAAAAATCATTGGTTTTTAATTGGAAAAAAGAGCATATAGTACCCAGGCATCCCCAATTATTTTAATATGGCACACAGTGAGTGCGCACACCCATTCTCTCATGTCTAGGCGACTCAGGCTTATCGTGGCAATGTTAAATGTATGACACACAAAACGTACATATACGTTTGGGGCACTAGCGGTAAAAACGTGTATATACATTTGGACCGTTTACGGGTTAACATTTAAAGCATCCCAGAGCGATAATATGCATATGCAATTCACTCATTACTTACCTTAAAATATTTCTAATATTAATGTAGGGCGAGAGGTAAGCAAACGAGATAAAACAAATAAACGAGAAACAGAGAGAGAGAGAGAGAGAATGAGTAAATGAGAGAGGACTGACGGGCAGAGGATGTAAGCAAACACACGCTTGTATTATACCATAATACATACATTTTACATTATGTACAATGTAAAGTGTTTTTATTATGATAATACAGTGGAACTTTGGTTTTCGTATGCCCTAGTTGGTATGTAAAACTATAGTTATTCTCTATAAAATTTTATTTTTGTTAATACTTGTAATAAGAAATAATGTAAATCCAATTAATCTCTTCCAGATAACCAAAAATATTAACAAAAAATTATATTTTATAGAGAATAACTAGTTTTACGCACAAACTAGGGCATACAAAAACCGAGGTTCCACTGTTATAATAACAATAATAATACTAATAAATACAATATTGTTTAGTTTCCAACACAATGCAAGCTTTCTCTAATAAATAATAATAATAAGGCCGAAAACCAAAATATTTCCCATAAGAATTCATGTAAATACAACTAATCCGTTCCAGACACCCAAAAATATTAACCAAAAAAAAATACATTTTTTAAACATTAACTATAGTTTTACATACACAAAACAACGAGAACTAAATAAAATAAATAAATGAGCATTTAAATTACTATTACATACCTTTATTTAAGACTCTTGTTGGCTTATGGAAGACTTCAGGTATCAAAGCCCTCTCTGGGGTTACTTTTTTCTTTTACTGCCACTAGGACCAGCGTGAGAGTCACTGCACCAGTCGCACAAAAAACTGTCCAGAGGTGTCTGTTTCTGGTGTCTCTAAGATTTGCCTAAAGTGGGACAAGGTTTTGTCACTGAACATGTTGCAGATATGGCTTGTTTCAGCTTGGTTAGGGTGATATTTCTGTACAAAACTTTGCAGCTCACTCCACTTTGCACACATGTCCTTAATCACTGAAGAATCCATTCTCCCTTCTCTCTTCCTCCTCCTCCTCTAAAGCCATTTCCTCAGCTATGGTCTGTTGCTGTTACAGATGAAGGTCTTGCAGCTCTTCCCTGTGGTCCTCCACCAACTATTCAACATCCTGGCCACTCACATCCAACCCCACGAACTTCCCCAAAGACACAACAAATTCTACAACAGGCGTAGGGTCATCAGGGTCAGCCTCCTTGTTGAGGACACATTCTGGTCAAAATTTTCTCCAAGCAGAGTACAAAGTCCTGGAAGTCACTCCCTGCCAAGCCTTACCTATAAGGCTTATGCAATGGAGGATATTAAGCGATTCCTCCAGAACTCTCTTAGGGTCAAGTCAGTGTCAGAGGTCACTTCAAAGCACTTTTGAAAGATTGCTTTCCTGTTGACTTTTTTGAAGTTAGAAGTAACCTGCTGGTCAATGGGCTGGATGAGAGGAGTGGCATTAGGAGGCAAGAACTTCACTGTTATAAAACGGAAGTCCCTAAACAAATGGTCTTCTGAGTCTGGAGAACGAGCAGGAGCATTGTCCAGTACCAGGAGGCACTTAAGTGGCAATTGATATTCCTTTGCTTAAAATGTAGATCTATCAGAGCAACACTGGCATCAACATGTGAGACAGGAAATGAGTTAACAAGTAAACCACCATCTGGACTTAAGGGGAAGAATACATTATGACATTCTAATTAATGGTGTTATAACTGAAGGTTCACAATTTCAGTAAATTAAAATATACAGTACTCCAATTAAGCACTAAACCAGAGGGAGCCATAGTGTCAGTGAAATTATAAGCAGGAAAATTACTTTTTCCCATAAAAGCTAATTAATATTTGGGTTATTTTTAAAGTTTTCTGGCAAGGGCATCTGATTACTACCCAGCAATATCTCAAGAAACAATACTTTGACATGTATGCCATCTCAGGACCAATGAATAGTAGTGTAAGAAGAGGTTTAGATTTTTAATCCTGAGGGTTAGCAGTCACGATAACCAAATAAAGTGTGTCACTGGGGACCGTTGGTCAGATTTCCACCGGAGTCCTTTAATCTCATTCCTAAGGATGCGACCTACAACGGGCAACTAACACCCAGGTACCTATTTGCTGCTAAGTGAACTGGGGCAGCAGTTGTAAGGAAGCATGCCAATGTTAACCCTTGCATGAGACTCAGCAATCTTCAGTCCCTCAGGCATGTGAGCTGAGGACACTAAAAACCAAGTCATGAGCATTAGTAAGGTCAGCTTCTTGTTCCACTTATTATTGCAACAGTTAAAAAACACACATCAATCACTCCTTTTCTGCAGCTGTTTTATTATTAGTTACTCCATACACCTGATACAGATGGTAATAAAATAGAGTAAACCAACACATTAGGTAATGATGTATACCTAGCAGTAAATATGTACCTAACTACATTTTTACTTGGGCTTTGCATACATTCCCCCAATGAAAAGCAGGGACACCACATGTACACAGAGACAACACTAAGTGTCTGGGGCCCAAGACTGTTCAACTGTCTCCCAACATACATAAGGGGGATTACCAATAGACCCCTGGTTGTCTTCAAGAAGACACTGGACAGGCACCTAGTCAGTACCTGACCAACCGGGCTATGGTTCGTACAGCTTGCATGCGGCCAGCAGTAACAGCCTGGTTGATCAGACCCTGATCCACCACAAGACATGGTCTCAGACCGAGCTGCAGGGGCGTTAACTCCCAAAACCCTCTCCAGGTAATAACCTTCAGAATTTTTTTTTACAATGGTCTTAAGAGCATACAGATACTATGGGGAATAAAAAGTGGTTTATGAAGATTTAACCCAATAAGGTAAAAACCTGAGAGTTTGTCAATTTTGTTGCTGTGGGTGACATCCTCGAGAAGAACCCTAATGGAAATAATCCATATTTTACTCTTGCATTACCTTTGACTTAATAATCCTAGTGGTTTCATTAACTCTTAAGGATGTCATCTTTTAAGCATTAATCCTAAATTTACTTTACCTATTACTGGTAGATTCAATTAATGATGACAAATACAATTCCTTGGATCAAGAGCCTACGACATCAAGAAATCTCTTGAATGGCTAAAAGTTTATACATGTTTAATTTAAACTAAAACAATGAATTATCTAGCAATATCAATGTACTCAAGAAATGTATATTAATTTTGTAAGTTATCTTACGTACTGATCTCTGGTCTTAGTACAATAACCTTCCTACTAATGTACTTCTTACTGATATACATATAATAAGCATATATACAGTAAATAAGAGCGAAAATTCCATCTAAACAACCACCTGCTTAGCCTTTATGGCTCACCTCTCAGTACCACAATAGCGTTAACTCCACTTCAGTACCATTAATACAGGAAATATTTTACTAAAACGAATAAGAGATATAATAAGAAAACTACGTAATGAACGGAGGTAATATGCTAGAGTGAATGACTACAAGGCTTTGATATAGCAATAATTTCACAATAGTGAGGCTGGAGCCGGCTTGAAGGCGTCGTCTGCTGCACCACTCCCATCCACCAGCATCATTACTCTCTAACACACTCTCATACACACACCATGCCTCGATATACTAGTAGATAGGAAGTAGTGAAGTGTGTAAATAGTTAAGTGATAAATGTGAGGGAAGAAATAATGTAATATTTACCCGACTGTGGCTGAGGTCTTCACACGACTCAAGATCAGCTGGGAAGGGAGGCCAGAGGGAGCACATGCAGCATCAGAATGGATAAACTGCACTCATTATTACCTACAAGCTACATGATTTTTTTACCAAGATATATTCAGTATGCTACATATATTTTTAGAATAATATTAGGTTTAAAAAATGTGCAAAATACAATGATTTAAATTAGTTTTTTTTCCTTTTAGGGAATGGAAATAATCTCTGTTCCTTTTACTAATTCATTGCGAATTATCTCAAACTAAACACAAAAACAGACTAATTATATAATTCAAATATATAAACGTCATGATATTTCCAAAAAGGAATTAAACATAAGGTTGAAATTTATATATACATATTATATAATAACCTCCACAGTTGTGGTTGCATTGACTGGCTGCACAACAGGGACCACACAACCTCACACACGGGCTCCCAATTCACCCTCAATTACTTAATAACCCGCTGCTTTTGAAATAATTCACGTACGCCTGCCTCTTGTATATTATGTCAGGTAAAAAAAATACCTTGGCTCATCATGGCACCTCCATCCGTGTCTATTGTAGTCACTCATCTAATTACCGGGCAGACCCTGGGGCCTTAACCTGACTGGATCTTGTTAGGTGTCTGTACTAATGGACAGGTGTGTCTACCACTGTAATACATTCTTTGAGGTATTACAGATGTAGCGGTTCTCACTAAACATAAGAAGGACCCCAATGGAAATAAGTCACTTTGACTTTTTTTGGGGTTATCATAGGTTCTCTATATATGCCGCTATGTATGATAATCTCTATAACTATTTGTGTATACCTGAATCAGTATACCCCTATATCCTTTCTAAATCTAAAATTTGTAGAACTTGAATTCATTGCAGTGACTCCTGTCTTGGTTGAATATTTTCAATACGCTATATTACTATAATGTACAGAGAACCTTCACGGCGCGCATAACGGAGATAAAACACCTCAATTATTGGGAGCGCTTGAGGTTCCTAAACCTGTATTCCCTGGAACGCAGGAGGGAGAGATACGTGATTATATACACCTGGAAAATCCTAGAGGGACTAGTACCGAACTTGCACACGAAAATCACTCACTACGAAAGCAAAAGACTTGGCAGACGATGCACCATCCCCCCAATGAAAAGCAGGGGTGTCACTAGCACGTTAAGAGACCATACACTAAGTGTCAGGGGTCCGAGACTGTTCAACTGCCTCCCAGCACACATAAGGGGGATTACCAACAGACCCCTGGCAGTCTTCAAGCTGGCACTGGACAAGCACCTAAAGTCAGTTCCTGATCAGCCGGGCTGTGGCTCGTACGTTGGTTTGCGTGCAGCCAGCAGCAACAGCCTGGTTGATCAGGCTCTGATCCACCAAGAGGCCTGGTCACAGACCGGGCCGCGGGGGCGTTGACCCCCGGAACTCTCTCCAGGTAAACTCCAGGTAATTGCTGTTTTCCATTTTTTACATCAAAGTTACCTGTCTCCTCGTTCTACATTTTTCCAGAGAGTGCAAATTGAGTGTGTCCAGCCGCCTGTCTTCATGGGAAAGGTTTCTGATACATGGAATCAACTGTCATTGACCCCTAAATTAAGGCAGTAACTATAGTTACTGCTTTAGAGGTCAACAGATCATACCTGATAATAGCTTTACATGTTCTTCGAGAAACTACAGCCTAACAGGTTCCGTGTGCCACTTCCGCCAACTTTCCTGCTAACTCTTATCAGTGCTAAAGGAATAACAGGAAAAGTCGGTCGATGGATCTATAATTTCCTCACTAACAGAACACAGAGAGTAGTAGTCAACAGAGTAAAGTCCGAGGCAGGCACGGTGAAAAGCTCTGTTCCACAAGGCACAGTACTCGCTACCATCTTGTTCCTCATCCTCATATCCGACATAGACAAGGATGAAAGCCACAGCACCGTGTCTTCCTTTGCAGATGACACCCGAATCTGCATGACAGTGTCTTCCATTGCAGACACTGCAAGGCTCCAGGCGGACATCAACCAAATCTTTCAGTGGGCTGCAGAAAACAATATGAAGTTCAACGATGAGAAATTTCAATTACTCAGATATGGTAAACACGAGGAAATTAAATCTTCATCAGAGTACAAAACAAATTCTGGCCACAAAATAGAGCGAAACACCAACGTCCAAAGACCTGGGAGTGATCATGTCGGAGGATCTCACCTTCAAGGACCATAACATTGTATCGATCGCATCTGCTAGAAAAATGACAAGATGGATAATGAGAACCTTCAAAACGAGGGATGCCAAGCCCATGATGACACTCTTCAGGTCACTTGTTCGATCTAGGCTGGAATATTGCTGCACACTAACAGCACCTTTCAAGGCAGGTGAAATTGCTGACCTAGAAAATGTACAGAGAACCTTCACGGCGCGCATAACGGAGATAAAACACCTCAATTACTGGGAGCGCTTGAGGTTCCTGAACCTGTATTCCCTGGAACGCAGGAGGGAGAGATACATGATTATATACACCTGGAAAATCCTAGAGGGACTAGTACCGAATTTGCACACGAAAATCACTCACTACGAAAGCAAAAGACTTGGCAGACGATGCAACATCCCCCCAATGAAAAGCAGGGGTGTCACTAGCACGTTAAGAGACCATACAATAAGTGTCAGGGGCCCGAGACTGTTCAACTGCCTCCCAGCATACATAAGGGGGATTACCAACAGACCCCTGGCAGTCTTCAAGCTGGCACTAGACAAGCACCTAAAGTCGGTTCCTGATCAGCCGGGCTGTGGCTCGTACGTTGGTTTGCGTGCAGCCAGCAGTAACAGCCTGGTTGATCAGGCTCTGATCCACCAGGAGGCCTGGTCACAGACCGGGCCGCGGGGGCGTTGACCCCCGGAACTCTCTCCAGGTAAACTCCCCTCAAGGAAGGTTCCTTGATGTTGGTGAGGGGCTCTTGATTTAGGGAATTGGATCTGTGCTCCAGTTTCCCAAATTAAGCCTGAATGCCTTCCACATCCCCCCCCCAGGCGCTGTATAATCCTCCGGGTTTAGCGCTTCCCCCTTGATTATAATAATAATAATAATCCAGGTAAACTCCAGGTATGGTATAATTTATAGCCCTGTATGTGGCATTCAGTACACATGATTCTTCAGATTGAACCAGATCTCGGATACTAAAATAATATCTATGATTCCTCCACATGCAGTTACTCTTAGTTCGTCTGTTACATTTCTTGAACTCTGACTATTTGCGTGGATGATAAGAACGTTTTTGCCTCGCCTTTTCTCATCTGTCACTACGAAATTCAGTTCCCTTATTTTTACCAGTGACTATTGTATGAGCTATCTTGCTTTCCTAATATACCTAGAGAGGGTTTCGGGGGTCAACGCCCCCTGCTTAGTCTGAGACCAGGCCTCGTGGTGGATCAGGGTCTGATCAACCAGGCTGTTACTGCTGGCCGCACGAAAACTGAAGTACGAACCACAACCCGGCTGGTCAGGTACTAACTTAGGTGTTTGTCCAGCGCCTTCTTGAAGACAGCCAGGGGTCTATTGGTAATCCCCCCTTATGTATGCTGGGAGGCAGTTGAACAGTCTTGGGAACCTGACACTTATTGTGTTGTCTCTCAATGTACTCGTGACAACCCTGCTTTTCATTGGGGAAATGTTGCATCTCCTGTCGAGTCTTTTCCTTTCATAGGGAGTAATTTTCGTGTGCAAGTTTGGTTCTAATCCCTCTAGGATTTTCCAAGTGTATATTATAACGTATCTCTTGCCTGCATTCAAGGGAATACAAATCAAGGACTTCACCCGTTCAAAGTAATTTAGGTGCCTTGTCGTATTTATGTGTGCCGTGAAAGTTCTTTGTACACTCTCCAGGTCAGTAATTTCGCCAGCCTTGAAGGGGGCAGTTAGTGTACAGCAGTATTCCAGCCTAGAGAGAACAAGCGATTTGAAGAGAATCATCATGGGCTTGGCGTCCTTAGTTTTGAAGGTTCTCATTATCTATCCTTTCATTTTCCTAGTAGATGCAGTAGATACATTGTTGTGGTCTTTGAAGGCGAGATCCTCTGACATTATCACTCCCAGGTCCTTCACATTATGGTTAGAACTTGCAGTATACCCTGATACAGTTTTAATTTCCTCGTGTTTTCCATATCTGGGTAGTTGAAATTTCTCTTCATTGAACTTCATATTGTTTTGAGTGGCCTGTTTGAAGATTTGGTTGATGTCCGCTTGGAGTCTTGCGGTGTCTTCGATGGAGGTCACTGTCATGACAATTCGGGTGTCATCCGCAAAGGAAGACATGGAGCTATGGCTTACATCTCTGTCTATGTCGGATATGAGGATGAGGAATAGGATGGGAGCGAGTTTTGTGCTTTGTGGAACAGAGCTTTTCACTGGAACTGCCTCAGACTTTACACTGTTTACTATTTCTCTTTGTGTTCTATTTGTCAGGAAGTTATAGATCCATCTACCAACTTTTCCTGTTATTCCTTTATCACGCATTTTGTATGCTATTACACCGTGGTCACACTTGTCGACGGCTTTTGCAACGTCTGTGTATACTACATCTTCATTTTGTTTATCCTCTATAGCATCCAGGACCTTGTCATAGTGGTCCAGTAGCTGCGACAGGCAGGAGCGACCTGCTCTAAACCCGTGTTGCCCTGGGTTGTGTAACTGATGGGTATCTAGGTGGTTGGCGATCTTGCTTCTTAGAACCCTTTCAAAGATTTTTATTTGGGATGTTAGTGCTATCGGTCTGTAGTTGTTTGCAATTCTTTTACTGCCACCTTTGTAGACTGGGGCTGTGTCTGTCGCTTTTTGTGAGTATGAGATAACCCGTGTCCATGCTCCTTCTCCACATGGTGGCCCATGGCCTAGAGGCAGACGCTCTCGCTTCACACGGCGAGAGTCCGGGTTCGATTCATAGCGAAGGAGTGGAAACATTGGACATGTTTCCTTACTCCGGATATCTATGTTCACCCATCAGTAAAGTGGGTACCTGGGTGTTAGTCGACTGGTTTGGGTCGCATCTTAGGACAAATCTGACCTAATTTGCCCGAAATGCTCAGCATAACAAGCGGCTTTCTATATAGTAGTATGTCACTGATGTCAGCTATGGTCTGTA